CGCGCGCGCGCGCGCGCCCCCTGCCCCGGTGCTTCCTGGGCCACCACAATACCAAGGACTCCTAACAGCGTCCGATGCGAAGAGAAAGGCGGGTGGGGCTGGGATTGAGGAGGTTGGTTCCCTAGATCTCCCTCAGTCCCTGCCCAGTCTGTCCAAAGATGTGGTTCTCAGACCACCCAGAGCCCCGGAGGCAAAAGACGGCAAAGCTGCCAACCTTTCAGACCCCCACAGCAGAGCGCTTAATGAGGGAGTGAATCTTTCTGGATGAGTCACAGAACCCCCCAATCTGCGGGTGCTTCTTTGCAACCCGTGGCATTAACCTAACTCTGAGAAACCCTTCCACTTCCCTTAGGGGGAAAAGGCGATGTTGCTCCCTGATTGGGCGCTTCAGCTCTTCTGACAGGTTCCGTAGGTGGCCCCCCGTTTAAAAATCGGGGTCACTCATTTTCTGTCGATTCTACCAATAAACAAAGCCAGGCGCACCCCGCGTTCCCTGCCGGAAAGCAGCCCATTCCAAGCGAGGACAACTTCCCCCAGTAAGAAAATTAACACATTCCTCTCGCGGCGGTTCAGACCCTCGCTACGGGGAAGCGAAGGGGAGGGGGCTCGGGGGCCGAACTTCAGGGGTAAATTTAGGGCCAAGGCAGCGTGGCAGAAACCAGGGACGCACCCTCTTCTCAGCTCCGCAGCTAGGGAAACACCTCCATTCTCTCACCCTGGCCTTGCATGCTGCTTGGCCCACGCGGGGCTCCGAAAGAGCTCGAAAGACTCCTCAAGGCAAAGGAAGGGAGCGAGGGAGGCCCTGGGGCGCGATGGGGGGGGTGGGGGGTGATACTTAGACGGGGAAAAAAGGTCAAACTTGATCAGCCCGCCAGGCACCCTGCGGGCAGCGGGCGCGAGGAGTGGGGAGGGGGAGACACGCAGAGTAGCCACCACCCCTTCCAAGTGGAAGGGGGAGGCTCAGCCACGCGAGGGCATTCAAAGCAGCTGCAAGTAGGGTTCTGACGGGAGTGTGCGCTGGAGATATCTAAGCAGCCGCCCCCGCTCAACACCAGGAGGCGAGGACCCAGGGCTCCAACCTCCCTAGCTCCCTCGAGCTGAAGTAACTGGGGAGGGGGCGGCACCCCGCGGGGAGGACCACAGCCCCACGCCACGCCGTCCAACCCGTGTTCCCGACCCTAAAACCCCTCTTTTTGTCTGAACTCAGTGATCTGCGACCGAGCATACTGCGGCTTGGGGAGGCATGGGGATAGCAGCGACCGCCGAGCTATCACCGGCGCTAAGGATCCCAAGCTCCCGGGCTCCGCAACTCAGGCTGCGGTGCCACCCCCGCTCCTTCCAAACACGGGCCCCTCCTTCCCTATCCCTGGCTCTCTCCGCACCTGAACTTCGGAGGAGCCCGCGCCGCCAAACTTTCCGCCGACTTGCAGAGAACTCCAGCCCCGGCCGCGCACCGGGCCCCGCGGGAGAAGGAGGAGGGAGGCGGGGAAGGGGAGGGGGCTGGCCTCTGGGGGGGTCGGGGGAGGGCCGTGGCCTAACACCTACCGTCTCTTCCAGTCGTCCAAGCCGTCACTGCTGCCGCCGCCGCGGCGAGGCCGAGGGGGAGGGGCGGGGCTGGGAGCTGCGCTCCGCTCGGAGGACCGCCGCCGCCGTGCGCTCCGCTCCCGCGGTGCTCGGGTCCGGAGCCCGAGTCGCGCCGCCGCCGCTGGCCCGAGGCGGGGAGGGGGGGGGAGCCTACAGCACCTGCCCCTCCTCCCCCTCCCCACGGCCCAAATTAAAAAACAACAAAAACCAACTAATCACCCTCAAGCGGAGCGCGGCGCGGCGGGCGGAGGGCGCAGCGTGCGGCGCCCGGACTCAGCAGGCGGCGCGCATGGCTGGGCGCGGGTTGGGCAGGGCTGGGACGCGGGGCTGGCGTCGGGGCGCGAGGCTCGGTCGCTTTTTTAGCTTGGTTCGGGCGTCTGCTTTCGCCGCCACCGCCTCTGCTGCCGCCAGTGCCGCCGCGTCTACATCCCCGCTCAAGCTCCGCCGCCTCTGCCGCCGCCGCCGAGCGCCCGCCCGGGCAAGAGCTCTGAACGCTGCCCGGGGGCTGCCGGCAAAACCCGGACCGGACTCGCCGCTCCCTCTTCCCCCCGCCCCCCCTCGGCTCCCGTCCCTCTCCCTCCGCCTCTCTCCCAGCGCTGTTCTGGCCACTTGGACGCCGCAGGCTCTGAGGCCCGAGCCGCAGTCGCGACGCCTCGTTCTCCCTGCGCCCTAACAAGATCCGCCCTGGCTCGGCTCCTCAGCGTGTCTGGTCTTCACCTCTTCTGCAACTTTACAAAAAATAAGAAGACCTCCAGACTTCTGTGAGATGTGTCTAGCCTTGGGAACGCACCTTCTGGAAAATCCGCTAAGCCTTTGCTGCTGTTCCGGTGGAGCGCAACACTCCTGGAACCCGGAGGAAAGGCTTAGCTGTGCCTCTCAGCCAGGTGCACGTTGAGGGGGACTCCTAGCCTGCAGATCAGTAACTAAACGCAAATTCAGAGACCCCACCCTTCCCAGACTGCTGTTTGGGTTTAGTGGGCATTAGGTTCTCCTGGAAAGGGGGCGGGCGCGTAGATTCTTCTTCCCATTTCACAGATGAAGAAAACGGATTCGCTCCCTGAAAGGACGTTTTACCTCGTACGCAGGCTTCAGCCCAAACTCATGAGTTCTAGGACTAAAGCGACAAGGCTGTGGTGCCCTGGGCCCGCGGTGGAAGAGCTGAGTCTGAAAGCGTCTGGCACGCCCAACAGATACTGGATGAACTAGAGAAGGAAACCCAAGCCCTACCTAGCTGACACACAGTGGGGACAGATTTGGACCCGCACATCCTCACCCACATTCATTGCCCTTTCTCTTGAGACAAGCACATCACTCACTCATTCTGAAACTGCGAAGGTCTTTCTTGTGCTAGCTGGACATTGGGTATTGGGGGCGGAGCATAAAAAGAGTTTGGGGCTAACTTAATCCCAAACTGCAGATTATTCCCAAGTGAAGGGTTCCCCCATTCTTTTGCATACGAGACAAGTTTCTGTGGTAAAACAGAGCATTCTTCTCAAAGAGAAAAATCTCAAAACATGCCCCCAGACCTAAGACCAAAAACTGGGGCGGGGCAGGGCAGTTGGGGAAGTATGTCTAGGGTTTAACATTACAGCCCAGATTATGGGGAGTTAACTGGGCGACGGGAGGTTCTCCAGCCACAGGTTTGGCCTCTGTAGAAGAAGCGAAACCATCTCCTACCTCACTGCTTCCTCTCCCTTTTAAGGCTCTTGTGTGTGTGTGTGTGTGTGTGTGTGTGTGTGACTCCTGGGATCCTGTTTTTCAGTACTTGTTCTACAAGCCTACTACCTGAACCCTTAAGGGTGAGAGGTGTCACAGGACAGAGCTTCTTTCTTTCCTTACTTACCAGGTCAGAGAACAGTGGTCAAACAGTGGTCAAACATAGTAGACACTTCCCTCCATCAAATTTTTTCCTTATACAAATGTCAATATGTACAAAATTACCCTATGTGGTAAAGGAAGGTTGTGTAGATTCTTTTTTGGCAGCCCTCCTCAAAGCCACCCCAAACAAGCATGTGTACAGACACAATGTGTTTGCTGTGGAAACACAATTTACAGAGGAATGAACACCCCGGATTATCTCTCTTCAGTGACTTAAAGATAGGTACTTTTGACTCTCCCTTGAGGACCAGGCACTGACCCACACAAGGAAAACTGAGGCCAAATTCCAAGTCTGCATGTTCCAGGCTTAACCCACCTCTCCCTTTCTTTGCTGGGATGCTGGGAAGCTCAGGCACAGATTGTGAAGGGGCTCTACTCTCCAGAAGTCAGCAGCAGGCCTGGGAGGATCACAAAAAGTGAGATGAGTAAGTCTTGCAGGGCTTGCAAAGTCCAGGATAAACCTGAGAAATATTCCATGCTGAGATCCATGAGGGAGAGTAGGGTGGGAGCTCAATCTTGGGAAATTGCTAATGCTTCATGATCTGGGGTTTTCTTGGTAGCCTAAGCTGCACCACTGCACTCCCCTCAGGAGAGCAAAGGTTAAGGGGCAGCAGGCTTCAGTGAGGAGTTAGGTGATCCCAAATGGGACTGCTTCCCCAGGTTGGGGGGGTGCAGGCACAAACCTTGTCTGTTTTAGACAGTAGAGTGGGGATCTTGGAGGGGGTTTTTTTAGTCCTCTGGAAATGAAAAATTATGGGAAGACCCCAATCCTCAGGTATCTAACCTAGGTAGGAACCAGATAGCAAAAGGACATAAAGATCAATGTGGACAATGGAACATGAATAGAAGTGTCATGAGTAAACCAATTACAAAGATGACAAGTGAGACAAATGGCTAGAGTCCTTCCCCTTGGGAAAGATCATCCCAACTCCAGCAGCTCTCTTTCTCAGGAAGAGGGGAAACCACTGCAGTCACTGTTCACTCAGTAGTCTAGAGATAAGAAAGTGTGCTGCTATACCAAAGGCACATGGTTCAAATCCACCAGCCTGTAGGAGAAAGTGACCAATCTCCTCCTGTGGTGGTGGTGTTGTTCTTATGTGCTGTCGAGTCGCTTGCGACTCCTAGCGACCCTATGTACAAGAGCCCTAAACTCTGCTCTGTCCTGTGCCAATTGCACCATCTCCGATACACCCATCCCAGTTGCCCCAGTCACTGAATCAATCCACCTCATAGAGGGCCTTCCCCTCCTGTGCTGTCCCTCCACCCTACCAAGCATGATGTCCCTCTCCAAGGATCAGTCCCTCCTTACAACATGTCCAAAGTATGTTAGACAGAGCCTCAGAATCCTTGCCTCCAAGGAGCCGCCCGCTTTGACCCTCTCCACTATGAATCTGTTTGTTTTCCTAGCAGTCCATGGTACCCTCAGTACTCTTCTCCAGCACCACAGCTCAAAAGCATCAATTCTCCGTCTATCCTCCTTAGTAATTGTCCAACTCTCTGATGCATAACAAGTGATTGCAAAGACCATGGCCTGTATCAGACGCACCTTAGTCTCCAGAGTGACACCATTGCTCTTCAGTACCCTGGAGAGGTCCCTAACAGCAGATTTGTCCATCACAATACGTCTTTTAATTTCCTGGCTACTGATGCCGAGAGTGTTGACTGTGGAGCCAAGCAAACTAAAGCTGTGAACAATCGTAATCTCTTCACCATCCATCCTGATGCTGCCAATTGGCCCAGTGGTGAGAATCTTTGTCTTTCTGTGGTTTTAGTGCCTCTGAAAACCTGCTGGCGAGTCAGCTATGGGTCAATTCTGACTCAGCGGCATACAACAACAACCCTTGCCTCCAAAAAGAACTTGCTGCAGAGGGTCAAGGGCTGCAGCCTTCAGTATGGACTGAGGCTCAATGTCAAGAAGACAAAGATTCTCACAACTGGACCAATTGGCAGCATCAGGATGGAGGGCGAAGAGATTGAGATTGTTCACAGCTTCAGTTTACTCGGCTCCACAGTCAACATTGTTCAGCACCAGCAGCCAGGAAATAAAAAAATGTATTGTGATGGGAAAGTCTGCTGTTTGGGAGCTCTCTAAAGTACTCAAGAGCAACGGTGTGTCTCTGGAGACTAAGGTGCGTCTGATACAGGCCATGGTCTTTGCAATCACTTGTTATGCATCAGAGAGTTGGACAATGACTAGGGAGGATAGAAGGAGAATTGATGCCTTTGAGCTGTGGTGCTGGAGAAGAGTACTGAGGGTACCATGGACTGCTAGGAAAACAAACAGATTCATCCTGGAGAGGGTTAAACCGGCTACTCCTTGGAGGCAAGGATTCTGGGGCTTCGTTTGACATACTTTGGACATGTTGTAAGGAGGGACAGGTCCTTGGAGAGGGATATCATGCTTGGGAGGGTGGAGGGACGGCGCAGGAGGGTAAGACCCTCTATGAAGTGGATTGATCTGAATCACTGATGACTGGGGTAATCGGGATTGGTGTGTCAGAGGCAGTGTGATTGGCACAGGATAGAGCAGGGTTTAGGGCTGTTGTACATAGGGTCGCCATGAGTCGCAAATGACTCGACGGCACATAACAAACAACAAAGCTTACACTGCTATTCAATTCTGCTGAATTCTCTCAATCAAGCAATGAATTATTGAGACAGAAAGCAAGTTCTTAATGTCTTCAGCACATTTGAGGGGACACAGGGAAACTCAGCATTCACCTTTTCAGAGGACTCTATCTTCTGGGAAGGATCACATTCACCCCTCTCCTGCATATCCATGGTATACATTACCCTGAACTAGACATTGTGCTGGAGTTAGAGTGAATTAGCTTATTTACTCCTCATTCTGACCCTGGTAATAATATAATCCTCATTTTTCAAATGAGGAAACTGAGGTAAGATTAGTATCAATGTTATTCTACCCCATGAAGATATTCCTCAGCCTAGTGAAGTGTCTTCTATGCAGATCTGATCTGAGGTCATCTCTTCCACACCTCAGAGTTCAATCCCTCTACCAATGAACTTCCTCAACTCATCCTATTCCTCCCTGCAAACTGGGCCAACACCTACCTATAGTGGTGGTTCCTTCAAGCACACCAAGAACCACCTTCAGTTTTCATGGCTTTCTGGGCACTGTTTCCTCTGCTCAGAAGGTCTTTAGTCAAGCTCACCTAATGAACTCCTTGTTGAAGACCAATAGCATGTAGCACATCCACTGGGAAATATCTCCTGTCATTTCCCAGGCCATTTGGTCCATACCCACAGGACTATTACTGAACTTGCAAGTTAGATAAAAGTGTCCCCTTTAATTAGGCAGACATAGGAACCCAAACAGCAGGTCGTGGGCTACATTCAGTCTTCTAAGTCCCCTTCACCAGGTACCTTCTGCAGCATTTACTGCATATCTGTACTCTATGGCTCAGCTTGGCAGGAATAGCTTTTAAATGCTTATTTGCCCCCCTGCTTTCACACTACCACCTGGTCAAACGTTCTTTGGGAGAGTCTCCTACACTTGGTATGTCTAGCCCTGCCCTAAAGCTTAGCACTTAACTGCTCTTCCTATTAGGTGCCATCCAGTCGACTCCAACTGACAACAACCTTATGGACAATGCAATGAAATTCTGCCCAAATCTTGTGC